TTCAATAATGGATGTGTGATTTTTAAAGTCATAACATCGCTAAAACAAGCCATAAATCAAATTTTTACAAATTTATGGTTCATAATAATAAAAAAATGTGATGGCTAATGCGTTGGCATTACAATCACTGTTGAAACCCAGGTCTTAAAAACGATTTTTCTTTTGCAACGAAAAACCTGAAGATTTTAAGTAAAGTGATTTGGAAATTATCAATTCAACATTTATTATTTCTTTTTAATCATTTAATGTTATTACTGTGTTCAAAATTTGGACGTCGATATGTCCGTTAATATTGCAGTACAAATAATCAATGTGTTGAGTTAGATCGGGTCGAAAACATAGCGGAACTGTTATTATACAAGGAAATTTCACCCTATGTGATCCAGATATACAAAGTTACATGAAATTCGCATAAAACATGTAGCTACGACTTTTAAAATACCCCAAAACAGGATTTACCTATGTATTGGGAGTAAACTTAAAGTGGACCCATGCCGACAACTTTTTTTTTTGGAATAAAGCGCAGTTAAATTAAAATTATATAAACTAATAACCTATAGTGTCGAATATAGAATATACAGTACCGATCAAAAATGTACATTCCGCACTTTTTTTGTTTGGAAAATTTAGCGGATTACGAATTAGTACTGACCAGAACCGATCCTACATACAAACTTCTTCTTCTTTGGTTATAAATTATAAAGAACATACAGACGGACGGACATACATACCTAGATCAATTCAGTTAGTCGAGATATTACGATGGATATACTAGGGGTCGAGGACCACTGTGTGTGGCCGCACAAATTCGTTTCCATACCTTCCACCATAAGTTGGAACGGAAATATTACAAAAGCATCTGTAAAAATACAAAAAACCGTGCATCTAAACAAGTTTATTAGCTTGACATTTCAAACGACAATTATTTATTTTGATATTCGAAATCGGAAAATTGGTTCAGATGTAGGTATAGTTCCCATGTATATTGTTATCCGATGTTATGTAATTGGTTCACTAGAGGTCCACTGCACCTCTTCCTTACACTGACATATTTTCTGAATATTACTAATATTCAGTACAGCCAGTTTTGTTGTGATGTTCGACTTATAATTGTGGCCTATAGATCGACTCGAAAAAACACAACAAATTTAGTTTTTGGTCCACATAATACTAATATTATTATCTGAACATCACCGAAAATTATAGGCGTTGTCCTTGACCATACCTTGATCCCCATGGAAAATTTCAAAGCGATCAACGCAATGCTTCCGCCATCTAACGTGGTAATGGGTCACTAAAAAATATCTGAATACGTAAGCACCTGTAAATATTTAAGTGTAACTTCCACATCCGAGTACATAAGACAATATCATTGGTATCATTTTAAAGGTCAACCACTCCTCTTGGATATACTATCAACATCTCTTACTTTCAGGAGTAAATATAAACGCAAAAGTTTTTGTTATTTTTCACACAAAAGTCAGGGTACATTTGACCCGCTAAATATAGACCGATCTTTGTGAAAACAGGCTGTTCATTCTTTGGCCCGATCCCCTTCTCCATGTAAAATTTCTCGATGTTCGAGATATAATTTCGGCATCTGGAGCGACCAGAAAAATTTACAAAAATTAAGTATTTGCTCCATTTCATCCAAATATTAACCGATCTTTTCCAAAAACAATAGAGGTCTTCATTTAGCAGAACCTATCCTACATGCACAATTTCGTGACGATTGGTCCATGTATCGTGTTCACAAATTATAATGGACAGGAGGAACTGACAGAGGGACGGACAAACATGTCTAGATCGACTCAGCTGATATGACAATCGGTAAAGGTGGGTCTAGAACCAATATTTCGCGGCGTTACACACCCTTGGGGCTGCACAAAGCTATAGTACCCTGACAAAATAGTTGTATAGGGTTTAACTATTTAACGGTTCCAAATTTTTATAACGTTATTCTGGACTTATATAACTATCGTATGAACTAGGACAAATTCAATCGGCCATGATCTTCCCAGCTTAGTTTTTAGTCGAAAATCAATAATTCTAGTTCATACCACAGCCAGACTTGTACTCTTTCTAACTGCGTTGCGTTCGGATTCTCGACAATCATGCCCGCCGACGAAAAGAAGGATTTTTCTTTAACCATTTATGGCCCAATGTTGCCCACAGGCAACAAAATATTTTCGGGCTTTTATTTAATATCCAGGTAGTAGATATATTATCTTTGGATTTCATATGTTAATACCTGATTATTGACGACACATATCAAAAGTTCAAATTATTTAAATCGCTTCAGATGTAGCGATGTCAAATTTTGTTCATATCCTATTTAGGGTAGTTGCATTAAATTTATGAACAGAAAAAGTCGGGGCGCAAAGGGTTTATTACAAAAAACAACAACATTTTGTCAATTAATTTTCTTCTTGTTGTTATATTTAAATACATGTATGCAAAATTACAAGTATTTAACATAATGTATGCTCATTTGCCAGCCGATTGAAAATCGTGGAAATTTAAAATCGAGAATATGAGGGGGTCCTTAATTACAATGCCCTTTTAGCAACAATAGTCATATTATTTTAAACTATTAACCCTTTCAGTGTTTTTATACCCTTCACCACACTGTGGTACAGGGTATTATGTCTTTGTGCATATGTTTGTAACAGGCCAAAGAAATCGAGATAGACACATGCTTCCTTTTGAGAATATGCATAGAATCACTTTCTGAGTCGATTTATGCATGTCCGTCTGTCTGCCCGTCCGTCCATTGGTTTGGCCCAAGGACGAACCCTATTGAAATTGGAGAAAATCGGTTCAGATTTAGATATAGCTCCCATATATATTTTCGTCCGATTTAGGTAAATGAAGCACTAAAGTCCCTGAAAATCATTATATTAGAACGAAAGTTGGCATAGCGTACTAAATTATGTCGACACTGATGTGTGCTAAATTTCGGGAAAATCGGTTCAGATTTAGATATAGCTCACATATATAGTTTCGCCCCATGTTAGGTAAATGGTGCACCAATGTCCCAAAATATCATTATCATTTGCACGAATTTTGGCATAGCGTACTGAATTAAGTCTAGAATGGTGTGTGCTGAATTTCGGGAAATCGGTTCAGATTTAGATATAGCTCCCATTTATAGTTTCGCCCGATTTTAGGTAAATGGTGCACTAAAGACCCCTAGCTAGGCCGATTGACACAACGTACTGAAGTTAATATAAATTTATATATGGTAATTTTCCTTGAAATCGGTTCAGATATAGATATAGCATAGTTTCCATATATATTTCGACTTAGTCATGTTTATTGTACACCAAATAAATGGGTGTTTGATTAAGATTAAATTTTAAACAGTGCAGCATAACGAATAGCGTGTGTCAATATTGCTTTAAGTCGATTTACAAAATTTAGCATAGGTGGCAGAATGACATGTGTAGGGATTGATGTTAGTCTGTTTAGATATAGATAAAGATCACATATTTGAGTTCGACACTGATGTGTGCTAAATTTCGGGGAAATCGGTTCAGATTTAGATATAGCTCCCATATATAGTTTCGCCCGATTTTAGGTAAATGGTGCACTAAAGACCCCTAGCTAGGCCGATTCACAAAACGTACTGAAGTTAATATAAATTAATCTCTGGTAATTTTCCTTGAAATCGGTTCAGATATGTATATATATATAGCATAGCTTCCATATATAATTTTGACTTATTTATGTTTATTGTACACCAAATAATCAATGGGTGTTTGATTGAGATTAAATTTTAAACAGTGCGGCATAACGAATAGCGTGTGTCAAGATTGCTTTAAATCGATTTACAAAATGTAGCATAGGTTGCAGAATAACATGTGTAGGGATTGATGTTAGTCGGTTTAGAAATAGATAAAGATCACATATTTGAGTTCGTTTAATTCTATGTCAATGTTCCTTCGAAAAGGCGACGTCTTTCAGGATACATATGTAGAATATACCCAAAGTGGTGAAGGGTATCATAAATCGTCCCAGTCCGACTTTACTACTTTCCTTACTAGTTGTCGAATATATTTGACATTTAGAAGTACTGACAAAAATTTTTTGTCGGAAAATAGGTCTGTAGTTCTACAAAGTCATATATATCGGTCCTGTAGATTTTTCATATTTATAAGCTCCTATCTTCAGTTTGCAACAAAAGTGAAAATAATTTGGCATCTGGCTAAATTTTAACACAATTTTTTTTAATCATTGGTAAGCTGAGACTGTAGTATATATCAATCAAGTATATTTTTCAAACTTTTGCCCATTACTGTTAGATCGAATCATTTCCTCGAAATCCAGACCACATCATCAGCATTTACTTGCAGAAGTGATGTAGGCTTTAATCATGATTAACGTCGCAAATTAAAATACCAATTCAAATGACGCCTTCCAATGAAAACATTCCTTTAATTTACATATTATTTTTATTATTAACACAATGAACTAATTATGTCGAGTCATAGATTGAAGTTTATAAATTTATTAAGTCATATTTTGCATCTAGTTAAACATTCCAGAAACCAAACACATAAATATGTACGAATTCCTATACAGATTTGTCATAAAACATCGATAATGTTTTGGCAACTAATAAATTCCTACTGTATGCGTACCATTGTCATAAACACTAGCCACACAAAACCAGCTTTTTGCAGAAATATCTATACATATATTTATCTATCACTGTCGATATCATCGTTAATAAAGAGCCAAAATTTATGCAAAACTTATGCCATTTACACCAAATACGATTTTGATCGTTGACCCAATATTTGGAATTGATGGTCCGAACAATATGTTGTTGGATGCTGTAATCCGAAGTTTCAAAAATTACGTTTTGGTCGATATATAAAAACTGCACTATAGACAAATAACATTAACAGTTATAATTCCATTTTCGCATTGTGAACATTGTCGCTGGTTTGGAGGTTTTCTTTGCTAAAGGCAATATTAGATTGTTCGGAAAAACTATGCGTGTGTTTGTGGTAAGTTTGAAATGAGTGAAGATAGAAGAAATTTTGAATAACCAGGGCTTTTCTTTTTCAGTTTTTACTCTCTCTTGGCTATGCCTTGGCTTTACCTCAGGGTTATAACTATCAAATAGAAGTGGGACAGACGGGTGGCAACAACATTCAAGCCATACCCAATGATTATCAACAAATCCTGCAAGAACAATTCGTTGGACAAATTCCACAAGGATTTGCCGATGCTGGTGGCCAATTTGTTAGCAATTTATTGCAAAGTGCCCAGCATGTCATACAACATGAACAGCTGCAACAACAACAACAGGAACAGCAGCAGTTACAACAACAAGTTATAGTGCAAGCTCCTGCAACAAATGTCCAACCACCTTCACAAGAAATTGCAGCAAATTCTGCACTTATTGAAACTTCTCAGCCTCATTTCATAATCAGAACAACAGCAAAGCCAGTAAAACCCATCGAAACCGTTGTTCCCCCCACACCCGTTCAAAATAAAGTGGCATTCCACAAGGAGTTCTACTATTTATCCGCACCCCAAGAGGAATATGAAGCTCCCAAGGATTTGCAAGAACAATTGGCAACAATCAAGAAGAATCTTAAAGTTGTCTTCATTAAAGCCCCCGAAAACAATGGTCTGGAACAAGCTGCCTTGCAGTTGGCCAAACAATCTGCCAGTTCCCAAACGGCAATTTATGTCCTCACCAAACAACATGATGCCTCCGAATTGGCGCAGAAATTGAACTCGATTCAGAATGTTGCACCACAACGTCCAGAGGTGGCCTTCATTAAGTACCGTACCCCCGAGGAAGCTGAGCACGCTCAACGTGTCATCCAGGCTCAATATGAACAATTGGACGGCCCCAATCACATCAATCGTCCTGACCTTGGAGTTACTCACGACTTTGTCGGATCCACACTTAAGCTCGATCCACGTTCCGGCGCTATTAGCAGTGCAACAGAAAAGGTTGAAACTACCAAACCAATTTCCAAATATTTGCCAGCCTCTGCTAAACATTAGCGCATAATCTCTGACCCTGTGTATATATTTATGTATTTTGTAATAAATTAAGTTAATTTATTGAATTTTTAATTAAAATGTTTTTTTTTCGTTTGAATATTGTGATATCATAAACAAATTCTTTTGCATATTCATGGGATGGATGTCTTCATCCCATCCATGTGTACGTTGCGTTAGCTATCCACCATTTGCATTGTTTTAAACAATACTTACAATTTGCTAAATGTATTTATTCATTGAAGCATACTTTAGGGCAAAACCATATTTATACAGGGTGACTCAGTCGAACGTATACAGTATTATCGACTTAAACTCTATTTTGCAATTGAATGTATTGATACCATAAGGTGGAGGTGGTATATTAATCACTAGATTTCCGAAGTGAGCCAATTTGACTCATTTAAAATTTAACCAGTAAGGAAAGTTCAAAAGTCAGACGGGGCCGACTATATAATACCCTTCACCACTTTGGATTGTAGACTTTGTAGATAGAAGAGACTTATCATCTTTAGAGGACCATTGGAATGGAACCGGCACACAGTGGTTACTTTAATAACCGGTACCGGGTAAATAAGATAAAATTCTACATCACTAGTTGCCAAAATAAGAGTTCTTAGTTGTTTACTTTATTTGTAGTGTGTCTTCAAAGTTCAGTAATTATTATTATTTTTGCGCGCATTTTTGCATATTTCCAGCGATCATTTTCTTAATTAAGACTTCTAAAAGTGAACATTTTTTTATGGAGCCGTCTACTTCAGGTGTTTGAGCATATGATAAATATTTGTTTGTTTAGATAAATGTTTTGAAAGTATTAAAAAAAGGAAATTGCTCCAAAAATGAGGTATTTTTGATGTTTGTAATTCATCATCTTCGTCACCATTATCATTTTTTCTTTGGGGTAAGATTAACGATGATTCAGTTGAAATCCTGAATCATCGTTAATCTTACCCAAAAAAAAAAAAAAAAAAAGATAATGGTGACGAAGATGATGACGATTATTTTGAGATTTAAGATTATTTTAAATACAGATTAAATATTTATGAACTTTTATTTTTTAAGAACATTTTTTCCCTAAAAGCACATTAAGTATGCTCTAATTTTCAATTGCATTTCCTAATTTACGTTTTTATCGGCCATAAAATATTAAAACAACATTTTTTCATTTTTCTTGTTTTTCTAATTACACTTTTTAATGTATTTATGAATATCCACCAATAAAAAATAACAATATTTTAAAATTACCTGAATAATTAACCACTTTGCCTACCGCTAAATCCACTGTGCGGCGAAACTATATATGTGATCTACATAGATATTTGAAACAGTTAAAAACCCCATACACATACTATTCTGTAATCTATGAAAAATTGGATTGGATTGTATTATTTTGTGTACCATTTGTATAGCAAAATAATGTATGTGGAAATATGTATAAATCTGGACCTAATTGAGAAACCGTGGAATATACCCTTTGGTATTCTGCAGCACAGTTCGCTGACCACAATTTCATCTGATGTATAGCATTTCCAGATTAAATGAAACATTTTACAAATTAAATGAAACCTTTTCCAAATTAAATGAAACCTTTTCCAATTGAAATGAAACCTTTTACAAATAGAATGAAACCCTTTCCAATTGAAATGAAACCTTTTACAAATAGAATGAATTTTTCCAAATTAAATGAAACCTTTATTCTTATCTAAGGAAATATAATATTTGCAGTAATTTTAAACCAATATTTGAAAATTAAATCAAAGAATATTAACAAATATAGTTGTATGGCTGTGTAATTAACATAAATATTCTTTAATTCGGTGTGATTTCATTTAATATCTTTACTACATAAAACTAAATAAATAGTAATACAAACTGGGTATTTCTTGACATTTTAATAAATAAATATTTAAGAACAAGAATTGAATACCCGAAATGCGAAATACATATTTGACAAAATAAATTGTTGATGATAAGGTAACTGCTTATCTTAATGAAGGGGCAGCTTGTGGGATTTTCAAAACCATGTCCATAACGTAGTTAGAACAATCTTGCCGAGTAAGGTTTTGAATACTTCGCTCGATTACATCAACAATGTTACGTTCCATTGAAACGTCACACAGCTCAGCTCTTGCACATAATTTTCAATTGGATTTAGCATTTTCAATTTGGATTCGATCAAATTTTTTATGTCATGTCGCTTGTGTATTTGAGCGTTATTTTCCAACTCTGGATTGATTTTCTCAAAAAAAAAAAAATCTATAAATAATTTAAATCTGTCTGCATTGACACTGGAATTAGAAACGATTGTGTGATGTACAACTCACGCGTTGTTTAAAAGGTTTCATTTCAATTGGAAAAGGTTTCATTTCAATTGGAAAAGGTTTCATTTAATTTGGAAAAAATTTAATTTAATTTGGAAAAGGTTTCATTTAATTTGTAAAAGGTTTCATTTAATCTGGAAATGCTATATATGGAACAGACGTAGGCTGCTCTGTGCACCATTTACATAAAATCGGACAAATATATATATGGGAGCTATATCTAAATCTGATCCGATTTCAACAAAACATCACTGAAATTAAAGTGGACTTAGGTCAGTACGCTAGGCAAAATATTGTACCAATCGGACAATCCTTGGGAGTTTGGTGCACCATTTACATAAAAGCCGAGGAAACTATATATGGAAGCTATATCTGAATCTGAACCGACTTCAATAAAACTTCACGGACATCAAACTTGACTTAAGTCAGTACGCTGTGCAAAATTTTGTTTGAATCGTTTGGAGTTTGGTGCACCATTTACATAAAATCGGATGAAAGTATATATGGGAGCTATATCTAAACCTGAACCGTTTATCTCCAATTAAAATAGGGTTCGTCCTTGGGCCAAATAAGTGAACTGTGCCAAAGTTCATCTAAATTGGATCATAAATGCGATCTGTAATTTGTTTACAAGAATACATGGACAGACGGACGGATGGACAGACGGACATGCATAAATCAACTTTGAAAGTGATCTTATGCATATACCCGGTACCACTGTCCGATTGACAAGGCACAATTTATCAGCTTGAGACGAGAATTGCGTTATTGTTTTTTGTTGAAATTAGTGCAGATGCAGGGATGTCTAATTGAGACTAAATTTTGAACAGTGCAGGATACTGAACAGCGTATGTCTTTAAGCCGATGTAAATTAAATTGTCCCATTTGCACACAATCGACTCTAAATCTGCCCGAATGAATTTAAATATGTATGGATTGATATTAGTGGGCTCACATATATTGAAACAAATATCGCATATTTAGGTTCGTTCAGTTTCATGCCAATGTTCCTTCGCAAAGGGGACGTCTGTTAGGATACATCTTTTGAATGTACATGATGGTAAAGGGTATTACATAGTCGGACTTTAATACATTCCTTACTGGTTTATCATTCTCATTCCACTTATCCATAAATGAAAAACTATCAACACTCCTGGAAAACTACGGGTGCTGCAGAAAAAAGGCGAATTTTATGTGCAAACTTCTGCAAGGGGCAATCTCCTAGGAAGCTGTTCAATTGAATAAATACTTATTAGCAGAGCTTTCAATATTTTTCTATGGTCCTTAGGAGTGTATCTAGAGAAATTAGGTTGAATAAGCTCAAATTGAAAGATGGGAAAAGTCAAACAATCGCAGAAGTTTTCCAGAGATGATGATCAGTCTTGATTGCTTTCGATAAAAAAACGCAAATATTTATGTGTAATTATAGTCAATCAAAGGGAAACAGGCAGCTGATGAGATGACATCAAGTTTATCTTTCACCTCATTTGTGTCTTCCGGCAATTCACTGAGAAGAGTAAGTATCCTTTGGAAGAGTCCATGCAGATTTCAAACGTCGTAAACTCTGCTCCTTGGTTTACTCATGGGCAGTTCAGTAGTCCGTTGTTCCCCGCTGAAGATTTCGAAGAATTATCAGAAGATCTAAATTAATACCCAAAAATTTTCAAATGCTTGAGTTATTGGGAGAAGATATTTGGGAGAAAAACAATAGTATTTGGAGGTATTAAGCTTTATCGATCTGGGGAACCTCTCTACCACCCATTCGAAAATATGATCTTCCGGATTATATATAAATTAGATTATATATAAATTAAAAATAAATTGTTATTTAATTAATTACAGTAAAAAATATCAATCTATTATATAGTACTGGTAATGCAAAGGTATTTTTTAACATTAATGTATAATTTATATATAAATATGTATGTGAATGTATTTATAAAAATTATTTGATGACTTACAACTAGTTAACTGTCATTGTGAAATTATTCATACTTATTTCTAAACTCTTTTGCTGGGTGGTATGTATGCACTTCTTGGTGGTATATAACTTCTTGATGGCGGAACAGAAGCTGGTGCTGGAGCAGAAGTCGGTGGGACTAGATCAGCTTCATTACCAGTGAATGCCGATTTCGAAGCGAAATTCAGAACTGAGGCAGATCTAGGAGCATTATCAATTGATGTACCAGGTAAGCTATCGTATTGCGACTGAATGGTACGCTGGGCATTTTCTGCATCAGCCTGAGTACGATATTTGACAAAGTGAACCTCTGGCCTGTTGTCGGTGGTCGACTTAAGTTCCTGCAATTGATTGACCAACGATCCAATATCCGATTGTTTGTTGAGTACATAAATGGCAGTACGATCCTCTGCAGCTGTTTTGGCCAATTGAAGTACAGCATTTTCAAGGCCTTTATTCTCGGGTCCTTTAATGAACACCACTCGGAGATTCTTTTTCAAGGCACTGGCAATTTTCTCGGCTGCATTTGGATCTTCAAATTCATGTTCAGGGGCACTAAATGAATAGAACGACTTGCTGTATTCCTCTTGGAGTGGCAGAACTTGTTGCTGTTTAGAAAAGCCTAGATCTTCAGAATTTCCACCACCAAAGTTAACACCATATTGGTACTGAGCTGTCACAGCGGCAATAAAACACAACACCTGTAAAGAAATATACCCAATATGTTATTTATTCATGTCTAGTATCAAATCTCCGATGAACTTACCAAGAAAGTACGCATATTGAACTTGAAGAAGGGGTTTGCTAAAGAGTGTTATAGGTGTGCTACCACTAACTGTTGTAACGTATGATGAACGACTGTGATTGCATTCGGCGCCATGCACAATATTTATATCAACGATTTTCTCTCCTAAAATACATCTTCAGTTCAAATCGTTCGAGCATTTCGAAATATAACAACCGGAAAAACGCTGTAACGCATTTTTATTACGGCGTATACCATGTAAATGCATTTGCATCAAAGTAAATCGAAACAAAATTAATTGGTATAAAATATATGTGTAACATGTTTCCGAAATAGTTGATAATAGTGCTAATGAAGCTGTCAACAACAAGTTTTATTTCGAACGGACAATGGGTTTTGCTACACCCACAGCTTGTTGTCGATGTAAATATGCATGTTTTTCTCGAATGCATCATTCGGGAAATTAATGAAACAATACACACCATTTCAAAACGGTGTGAATTTATTATAATATTTAAAATATAAATCAAATTGGATTTTCTTAGTATTCATCCTAAAAGTATGTTAACTATTTTGTAAAATAAATTTGAACATATTTATTTTAAAGCAGAAAGCAAATCAGGCTAACCACCAATACCAAAAGGTATCGACCAATATTTAAAACCATCTGAAGAAAGAACTAAAGTCGTACGATTTCTGTTCTAGCACCGGATCCAGTGACAGGCAATTATCCAGACAATTTATTCTATGTTCATATCTTTTGATTATTCCTAAAATTAAGCGGTGCTTTCAAATGAGTCTAATAAACAAACGTGGACATTTTTGACAAAGTTATGTTAAAACATTCATCTATATTGATAACATTCTGCATATGTCTACCTTCAAAACTCCAGAATGTCTAATTATCTATATAGTTAATAGAAAAGAATATTCGAGGTGCAAACGGAATAACCTAATGGTGGAGGGTGTAAAATATATATATATATATACAAGCGGTCCCGGCAAACGTTGTCTTGCCTAGCAATATTGTTGATGTATAATTTTTGGTATTTTAGGTTTTTTTATACATTGCACCATAAGTATTTGTCAGAGCACACATACAGTAACATTACAAAACTGAATATCTACAATTTGATGTTTATGATCGAATTTTGTTGCTCCCTCCACGCTTTAAGGATGAACTTTGAAAGTTGCTCATACATTTCTACTACTCATAAGATATTTGGTATTGAAAATGTTAATTTTTTGGTCCACCTTAAGGGTAGCCCCCATAAAACGATACCGTTATATGGGGGCTTGAATATAACTATATTCAAGAGAATCTCTTTAATTAAGATTTTCAATATTGATTTACGAATAGCCCCCATATAACGGTATCCCTTAATATTCGATATTTGGCTGTAATTTCAAGCTTCCAAATATACCCCATATAAAAGTACTTCAACTTTTTGGATAATGTGGGGGATTTGAGCACGTTTTTAAAGGTAACCGTCTCTAATTTGATATTTGGTTGTATTATATGGTAGAATGAATCATACTAAAATTGTTAATATTGGTATTGGTATACTCTTTGAGGCAGCTCCCACATAGCGGTACGCACAATATTCGTATGTTTGGCAGTTTGGTCCAGTGTTTCAACTAAAGTGGCTGTGATGTTTTATTTATGGATGATCAAAACCTCTTTACCAAAAATTATCAATATTGGTCCAAGTTTCCGGGTAGCCCCCATATAATGGTATCCCCTATTATCATGTGGTGTCAAATCTTCATACCAAAAATTAGTACATATCCATTCCCATTGTAGTATCATATATCATATATCATTTGCGAAAACATTTCTATTCAGGACCAAGTTTTGATGAAGTTTCTACATACAGTTCCCGTTCCATTTTCGGTATTGTAAAGACTTTGACCAAATTTTCTCATGGAATTGACATCATGTATTAAAAAGGCGCCATACACTGCTTCTGCGGATTCGCTCTATTTCATACCGTCGAGCTTCATTGGCATTCTGACATAGCAATACGACTATTTTCTTCAACTGTCTCTTTCTGGTCATCAGTGCACGTGAGATATCTCTTCGCGTATTCGATTCACTGTGACGACCTAAGTTAGATCGTTTTCTGATCCACATCTTACCGTAATTAATCAATATGAGGAAATTTCGCACTTACAGAACAAAAAAGTGTGACTAACACAAAGTCTCTATCACAAAAGATAATTGTCACTCACAAAGATAGAAGTATGCATTCATAGAATATTAGTTGTCGAATATTATGGTTGCTTTCAGAAGTTTAAAATTTTTCAAACATAAAAAAATAATTTGACACAAAATGCAAATTGTCTCTATGACTATACATTTTATTTAGAAAGCATTTGTATGGGAAATATAAAAGCCAGTTTTTAGATGTTTCGCGGTATTTATTCGAATTTGCTCACACTTTAAACCTTCCCTGAACTTCCACCATTTCAAGACTAAGATCAGATAAATCCGTTCAGCCGTTCCCGAGTTTTAGCGAGACTAACGAACAGCAATTCATTTTTATAAATATAGACTTGCTGACCCGACAAACGTTGTTTTGCCTTATCAAAAATGCATCAATATAGGGTTGGTAAATATTAAGGAAGTTATCGAAAACATACTTGAGTATGTGTGGTATTTCAGTATAGTAATCGGTTAAATTATTCCACTTAACATTTTTGATACATACCAATATTTTGACATTTTTTAATTTGTCCATTTTTGAAGCATTCTTAATAAGAATGAAATGTTGTTCATGTCTAACTGTCCTTTTGATTTTAATATTAAAATCAGTATATAGCTCGCAATATTTTAGATTGAGCTTGGCTTGAATGTTGGTATTACAAACATGTTGTATCGTTTAGTGGTATACAATTTCATCCACACATATGAAGGGAATTCTCGAATATTGATTCCGCTCAGATATATATGTTTTGACAGTTAAGGGTAACAAAATTATAGGCTCCACATAATGGAACCGCTTAAGCTTTACTTTATCATGTCTTAATGTGTTTTATTTGAGAAATTTTTCACAACCTATACATACCATGCAAATTGTTTCACATAACATAACTTATATTTTCAAACTAAATAAATCTTGATTTTAAGGACAACGTTAGCAAATAATGTTAGCGATTAATCTTACTCTCTCTGTCTCTTTTCGATTTCTTATTATTAAATATAACTCTAATGAAAATATATATACATTTATTTTCATATACAATAGTTTTTTCAAGGCAATGACAATCCAATTGATTGTAGAAAATTAACATATTTTGAGAATTTTCCATAATTGACAATTACTTAAAGATATACGCTGCCCATTTTCGCCCAAAATATGTCCAAAAAAACTACGAAGAGATAAAATCATAAAGGTTCGATATAAAACGTCTGGAAATGCTAATATCTTTCAAAATATGTTTTGCAACATTTTCGCGGATTTTTCTCAAAATGTCCTTTCATTAAAACCATTCCACTTCAATTACAGACTACTAACAGAAACTTCAATTCAAATCGGTCCAGCCGATTTTTTTCTCAACGGCATTTTCTCAAAATTTTCTTTCATAAAAACCATTCCTCCGTAATTACCGACAACTGAAAGAAACTTTTTGTCAAATCGGTCCAGCCGTTCTCAATTGATGAGTTAGTATACATTTTTTGGCTCCATTTTAAAATTTTTCCGACTCGCAACCACATTTTTGTATATGGCAATCTTGTTCCCTATCTGCGTAAACCACTTTGCCTAGCTTTTTCAGTTGTAGACAAATTGTGCATGGGTGACCATGTTTTCGCAGTGCAATTGTAAACTTTTAACCTTTTGGTTGTATGGGCGCAGGAAGAATTCGGCGATCGTTTTCTTTCGATAAACAATCTTTTTGCTTTCCAACAATCATATCAAACATAACTAATGTATTTTCTTTCATATATATTTTCTACAAAAAAAAAAAAAAAAATATTATAAATTTCCGTAAAATGCCACAGGTGGGGCACCTTTGAACATGCCCAATAAACTGCAGTAAGAAACGGAGTTTTTAACTTTTGGCTTCGATTCCTCAAAATTTCAAATGGGCTAATAAGATTACGAAATTGAATGTATTTTCCACCATATCAATCTTTGTTTTTAAGTCATTTTATATTTTAATAAATTTTGATTGGAATTTTTTAATTTTCGAAACTTTTTGTATATTTTTTAGTAAACAAATGCATTTCTGAATGAATAAAATACATACATATTTATTTATAACTCTAATGAAAATGTATGTACATTTATTTTCATATACAATAGTTTTTTCAAGGCAATGACAATCCAATTAATTGTAGAAAATTAACATATTTTGAGAAATTTCCATAATTGAGAATTACTTAAAGATATACGCTGCCCATTTTCGCCCAAAATATGTCCAAAAAACTACGAAGAGATAAAATCATAAAGGTTCGATATAAAACGTCTGGAAATGCTAATATCTTTCAAAATATGTTTTGCAACATTTTCGCGGATTTTTCTCAAAATGTTCTTTCATTAAAACCATTCCACTTCAATTACAGACTACTAACAGAAACTTCAATTCAAATCGATTATCGATTTTTTTCTCAACGGCTTTTTCTCAAAATTTTCTTTCATAAAAACCATTCCTCCGTAATTACCGACAACTGAAAGAAACTGTTTGTCAAATCGGTCCAGTCGTTCTCAATTGATGAGTTAGTATAAATTTTTTGGCTCCATTTTAAAATTTTTCCGACTCGCAATCACATTTTTGTATGTGGCAATCTTGTTCTCTATCTGCGTAAACCACTTTGCCTAGCTTTTTCAGTTGTAGACAAATTGTGCATGGGTGACCATGTTTTCGCAGTGCAATTGTAAACTTTTAACCTTTCGGTTGTAAGGGCGCAGGAAGAATTCGGTGATCGTTTTCTTTCGATAAACAATTTTTTTGCTTTCCAACAATCATATCAAACATAACTAATGTATTTTCTTTCATATATATTTTCTACAAAAAAAAAAAAAAAAAAAAAA